TCCCAGTACTTGTACTCGGTTAACAGTACTCGATAAAAAATCCCTGAAGTCCAATGACCCGATATCCGATATGGTTCTGACGAGAGGGCCGAACGTGGAACCATTAAGGCATACGACCCATTCGCTGTCTGTGCGCATACTTAACCAATCACGTACGCAAATTATATTGTGGTACTCCAGAATGGTTCCGCGATTTACTTGGGTATTGGTAGTCTGGTTCCTGGACCCGAAAAATTTAACAACGAACCCAGCATACAGAAAATCACAGGCATGTGAATAATTGAGTCTGAAAAATAGACTTCGCCGCGCCGTGCACGTTGTGTCAACTGCTGCAACGCACGTGTTGTGACCTTGACATTGCTAGCCAGATCACTTGTTCTTGTAGCCATGCCATCTGCATTCGGTGTTTCTTTTACACAGTGGCAGGTCTTAAGAGTCTCTAAATTAAGATAAAACTACTTTTGAATTAGAAGTACTCGTACTCGGAATTAGAAGTACTTGTACTCGTACTCGGAAGTGCAAGTACTTGGAAACCAGTACTTGTATTCGGCTGGCAAAGTACTTGCCCTGTCTTTGTACTCGGAAGTTAAAGTACTCGGCAGTACTTGGTACTCGGAAAAAGTACTCGACTACAACACTGGTTCTCCCTCACATATAACTCGCATTGGAAACTTCTGGAAATGTAAAAGAAGCTACATGTATTTCACATATTTGTTTTCTATCTTGTGCTTGTAATTTAAACACTAAAACAAAGAAAGTGCTGTGAGCAAGAGGTGCTGTAACCAAAGTTAAGTGTTAAATCAATGGGGGCCAAGCTGGGGGATGTGAAAAAGAATGTTAAAGAGCAATCCCAAGGGTGGAACAAAATAAGAAATCTGGCCGTAGTATGTTTACTTGGATCCCATTATAGACATGTATGCCAAATAAACCCGTATTCAGCAATATTTTTGGTTTAAAAACTCACATTTGAGACCCGTTTCTGCCGAGCGCCATGGCTAGCTTTCGTGAAAGGAGTGTGTCGTCGTGGCTTCATTTACATCTCATGAATACGGCTTTTCCAAGATTTTGTTGACGTAGCACCATGGAAACAGTTCTCCGGTTGGTGCATGTATGCACTGAGCGGGCGCGGTCACATCAATGCACATAATTACACATACATGTAATATAGTAACACGTGTGTAGTTACGGTTATACACTTTCCCAAGTACAAGGCGCAGAGCCTTACCGCTTTGAACCCATCGTGCCCCAGAGCGCCGACGGGATCCCGATCGGGCTGACGATGGGGCCACCGCTGGTGAATGAGGTGTTGAAGGAGACCAAGATCATTTGATTAATATGGCCTGGTAAGTTCAGAGTGAAGGACAGACGTTTTCAATGTTTTTTATGTTGTTATTTTACTCCGAAAAAGTGTCAGGCTAGGCTGGCAGCTCAGGAGTGAAGGTCTTTGTATGAAAACATATATCTATGAAACCAGGTCCTGCGAGGTCATGACGTTTTTCGTTTCCACGGTGGTGCATGTACATCATCTAAAAAGTATTTCTGCATGGCGCCACCAATGGTACAAACATGGAATGTTTTTGAAAACCAGCAGAATTGGTTCATATTTTTATCGCATTACTATTTAATTGGAAGTCACAGTCCCACTTTACATATATAACTTACTAGTTAGATACCACGTGAGTATATTGAACTGTTTTCCACCATCGTGGGGTTGCTCTTTAACTCTAGATGCGCAGTGATGGAAATCTACTGTGATAGTGCTACTACCACAGTCAGAACTGTGACCAGCCTGACGAGTTTTTATATTATTTTTTTTCTGCAGTAATCTAATGCAGTTAAGCTAATTTTTGTAAATATTTCTACACACAGATTATGTATTCATGTAAGTGTAATTTAAAATCTAAGCTAACAAAAAGAAATCATTTATTGCCAAACAAATCACTACAGTTTTGCTTATCATAATACATGTACAATGAATGTGTGATTTATAACAAAAAGAACCCTTCAGGACTGCCTTTCCATTTGTTACACAGCTATAAGAGTCAAAGACTCTGATTGTACTGACTGTAACATAACATATATTTTCAATGTGAAGTACTTGTACGTAGAACAATCATCTAAAGGAAGACTTCCAATAAACATAGTGTTCAATCACTTACATGTACGCACATGAAGAGTTTATGTCACTGCTGCGCAACAGACAGCCTGAAAAGTGGTGCTTTTTGAAGGGGGGGGCTGCATTACTCAGTGCTTGCAGTCATGTCTGGATAGGTTGCCTCGCTGGGCACAGCGTAGTGCTTCGTCTGCCACAGATTTGACACCAGCGGCTTAGAGATCACCAGTGGCCGGCTCTGCTTGAAGGGCTTGCCCCGGTACTCGCCTTCCACTGTGACTGTGCACTCCAAGTCACCCTGCGAGAGTGCATGGGATAGAGCATTGGCAATATTAAGCTTGAAATAAACAAATATCAAAACAAAAATAAGCAAAAAAAAGTCATCAAATTTGGATAATTGTTCTTACCCTGAGCCTCTGTAGGTTACGTACTGTAGTTATGATCATCTTAATGACTGCTTGTGAAGGGTACTCCTGTATTTAAAAAGAAAGCTTGGGTTTATTCCAAAACAATGTAAACTCTTCAGTTGATAGGCTTATGCTTTTATCAATGAACTGTCCACATCTAACCAGCTGTCCACAAAGTTTTACTCACTAATGTTGTATCCTGCACTAAAGCAGCATCAGATCACACGCACAGAAAGAGAACATTTAAGACAGCCAAGGGGTCATCCATTTTTGTCATCATTTTCACAAGCGTACAAAGAGTGCATAATGAATGAACAAAAAATGACGGTTTCTCTATGATGCCTGAGGACCCATTATTACTCAAAATGTATGGCTGTTAATCTGCAGTGGTCGACCAAAGAATAGTGGCAGGAGGAAAGCAACGTCCATGACATCAGAGCAAGTCACTTAGCATGCCCAGAATTCAACTTGCTACTGGCAAGAAACACATGATAGGCCTACATCATGTATATTCATGTACACTATATTATTGTTCAATAGGCATTGCACGCATGCACAAGTGTGGGCCAGTTTTTTTACATGAGGATTATGTACACTTGTATCATCCATCACACTCGATGTGGAACCATGTGAAACAGCCTGCACATGTGTACAACAGGAGTTGAAACTACAAGCAGACTGCGAGCATATAATGGCGGAAAGCATAAACTATGGCCGGTCTTTCATAATTGCCATTTTTAACATGTTTCTAAAGCGTACACAACCCCCCCCGTGTGTGGTTTGTACGCTTGTGAAAATGATAAAAATGTATTACCCCTAACTATTCCACATTCTGACCTGCTGAAACAGCTTTCCCATTATGACATCATACCGTCACATACATGTGCAAATTTGCATCAACATAAAAACATCATAAACATTAACCCTAACACTCCTCAATCCTCCAACAGGTGAAGGATTGAGGAGCGTTAGGGTTAAGGAGAAAGTACCAGAGAATCCTTGAAAATAGCATGAAATAGGAAACAAAGGTGCTTTCATTAGGACTACTTTTAAACTTTCCTATCTGATGGAAATTGTTAACATAGCCCTGGAAATGCACCTTTACATCTCCACCTGATTGTCCAATTTTTTCTAATGTGTTCCTCTTTAATTATA